TGCAAAGTAAGCTGTGTTGGTAGAAGAGGATGTGTCTTAGGGGAAGGCTGAAAAGAACAGGAAGATCTCAAAAAGAGTGAAAATTGGATACACCTTTTGGAGGTTAAAAAAGACCTACTCTAGACCTGGTAGAGATTATAATGGTATGTCTGGGATCAGTCTGATGCTTATTTTCTCTTGTAGTAACAGTCAGAATCTCATGTGATCAAGGTCCCTCAAAGCCAGCAAGGGGTTCATTCAGACCTGGGCTGTACTTTCTTCCCTGTGGAATCTCCAGGGCCAGCTGGCTAATGCTTTGGAAAAGAGGAGACAGGGCGAGAATCAGCAGCTAGATGGTTCTTACATTGTGATTAGAAAGAGAAAATGCCAGAGAAGGGGGGGGGGGGGAGTCAAGGCAAAGATCATGGGCAATTCACACAGCCAAATTATTTTGGAGATTCAGCCTATCAGTTTAAATCTTTACTAGGAGTAGGGATCAGGAATATCCAATAGACTCTTGCCTCTGACCTCCCCCTGACCTGCACCTGGAGGTATGACAACACAGGTGACAATACAGCTGGAATGTATGCACCTCCCACAGCTGGTCTCCAAATGGCCTTGCCCAAGCTGCAACAACTGCAAGACCCCCATCCCCCACAGCATGCTTCCTCCAACATATATACAAATGCAGATCATGATAAACATTTGCTTCAAAGGTTTGTCTTGAGTAGAATGTTGGCGAAGGTGGGCTGGCCTGCATCCATCCTGGAGGAGAATGAGGCTCAGCACCTAATAGACCTGTTGTCAAAGAGAGGAGAGCAGAGTGCACACCAGTGGACTACATATGGGTATGCATGACAATTATGGCTGAACACCTGCTTGCCAAAGCCTGGGGACACCAGGTGGAACTGAGCACTGCCCTCCTCCTCCTGGAAATAGCACTCAATCTTGGTACAGAGGTCTCCTTTTCTTTTCAGCCTACAGAGAGCTAAGTTACCTTGTCTGTCCAGATTTAGTGGTGTGGAATTTCCTGCAGACTTAGTATCTTCCATTGTGGCATTTCAGAGGAGACTTATACAACCGAATTCCAAGGTCAGCTCATGCACAGTGATGTGCAGGGCATGGGAATGATCAACTCTTGAAGAGAACAGAGTACTAGGTTAAACTGTACTACCCACTCCAAATTGCATAACTGAAATGTTCGACTAAGGTGGGGACATGAGATGACACAAGGTACCCACTTTCAGTAAGGGCAGTAAGCCTTCTAAAGACCGGGAAAACAGAGAATGCCATTTTGAGGGTGGTTTGTGGGAGTGGGCAAGTGGGGGAAGGGCATCCAATCTATATTTTGTCCTTTCTCCATTTTAATTACCACCCCTCTCTCACCAGCAGAGTTTGCCTATTAAAGGCCAATCTCTCTTGATTTCTTTGCTTTAAAAGGACATTTCGATTCACCCAGGCAGACAATTAAATCCCCCTCGAGCCTCTCCCTTCCCAGAGCTCGAGAACAAGAGGAGTCCCTATCTCCTCACAGCATCGAGCTGAGAGAAGAAGTTGATCTCAGGTGCTCACCTGCAGTTATCAGAATGCCAGACTCATTTAGGGAGCTCAACTCTGGACCCTGAGGCGATCCCTTCATTGATTGTGGAAAGCGCTGTTTAGATTTTGCCTCTGCTCAGTAAACAACTAAAAGTAACTGGGCGATTTCTGCCTTGTATTCATCCAACTCTCTCTCTCTCTCTCTCTCTCTCTCTCTCTCTCTCTCTCTCTCTCTCACACACACACACACACACACACACACACACACACACACACAGCTCCTATTAATCATGAAGGAACAGTCAGGTCACAATGCCTTTATAATATCCTTAGCTAATCCCCCCACCCCCAGCAGCTGGGTCTTCTGGGGGATGCTATGCCTTCCTCTGAAGATTCACAGATCCCCAGAAGGACACACCCTCCCAAATCCCTAAGACTGTAGGGACCTGAGAAAACGGTGCCTCTTTGGATCCCCTACTCTGCAACCTCTGAAAGTCCACACCTGCCTAAAATACTTACCAGGGACTTCCTAGGGCCATTCCTCTCTCTCACCTCCCTTCCCCCACACGAAGTCCTCCAGAGTTCTCAGTTGGTCTTTGATAAGCCTGTTGCAGCTCAGACTCAGAGAAACAAAGTTGGGGGTGGGGGCACATTAACTGTCTACAGAGTTGGAGGCAGTTTCTGGATAAAGCAACCATGGTACTCCAGGGAGTGAATTAAAATGGTAAACTCACTCTCTGATCATCAAACTTAAGATCCTTAAGGAGATCGCATTTACTCCGCAGTTACTAACAGAAAAAAAAAAAAAGAAAGAAAAGATGTTCACTACTGTCCACAATTTGCATTTCTCTGAATAGACCATTAGTTATAATTAGACCCCCTTCATTTAGCTCTATCTGTAGGAATAAGTTCGCACCCACTCTGTCACCTATTTGTATAAAATGGACAAAAATTACCTGGCATCCAAAACAATATAAAAGTTTAATACAAATCCTAAACAATGACAATTTAAAAATCAAACAATTATTTTTTAAAAAGTCAAGTGTTAAAGAGCAGTTTTCCGAAAGGTATTAGAAGTCAGCCTGCGACGAATGTGTTTTTTAAAAATTAGCTTTCTCTTTCAAAGTTGGTACTATTTCAAATGGAATTCTTTTCTTGTTTGTCTACACTCCTTTCACATGATAAAAGATATTTTTCAAATGAGATCACCTCAACTTAAAATACAGTTCTCCATTACCAGCTGGTCTCAAGCAAAACCTTTTTTTTTTTTTTGAGGACTCACACAACTAATTTCCCAAGATGACGAACTGTAGTAACTTTTATTTTTGAAAATCTCTAATCTTGCCCAAGATAATTAAAAAAAACCTAAAAATTAAATTTTTAATTTGTAAATTCTTAGGATTTAAGGTAGAAATAATTTCCACAGTATTGAGTGTTCTATAGTAGTGAATAGTGAACAGGTAAATACATTTATTTTTAAAATGAAGGGCAACTCTGGAAATTTGATTGCTACTTTTTGTAAACTACCCATGGGCAAACTCCAAAAGTGTGTCATTTCTTCTCTCCTTTCTTTTTCTAGTATGATTTTATAAGTGGGTTATGAAATGCATGTAGAATTTCGGTATATTCACTAAATGCCAATTTTTCTCCACATTTTGTGAATATCAGCTATTTCTTTGCATGATGTCTAGTCTAGTCGATGGCATGTCCTGAGGAATTGAAACCATCAAGGATTGGCATATACTTGCATTAGTTTTTGGTGTGGTTATGCAGCAGGTCACAACATCATTGTTATTGGCAATGCTATTTTGTTGAACCTCAATTTTGATATGACTAAAAATAATTACCAAATTTCAATTAATATTTGCCTATAAATTTCATGTTTGATCAAATAGCTCAATGATACTAATTAAACCTTTCCTTGCAAATATTTCTTTGTATTCTCAATGTTTGTCCTTCTATCTGTGAAATCTACATTCAAAACATTTCGGGGAGGGAGGAGAGAATTTATTTATAATTTTTGGTTTGTTTAAAATTATTATTAATACAGTTTAGAAAATATTTCTGAGCAAAAAATAGAATTGCTTCTATGCCAAATAGGAATTCATTTTTTCCATGCCTTCATTTTTACAATATACAATATTTGGGCTGGTATCCCACACACATTGACTAGTTAAATGTAATATATATATATATTACATAATAATAATAATATTTATATATAAATTATCTAGCTATCTATATATTTTAATAGTTTTCCCAGACAAAGCCACCTTAAGTTTTGAAACACAATTCAAGAGAAACTTGCAGATATTTTTAGGAATCGGGTCTAACCTCCCATGACACTCAGAAACATTCTGTTTGGTTCAAGGGGCGAAAACCACGACCTAACGGTGTTTACATGTGTATTCAGCCATGAAATTGAATATTATCAAAGTTGAAAAATGCAAATCAAATTAAAACCGGAGAAAATTGTCTTTGGAATTACAGCGGCCTGGAGCCCCCAAGTGTTTGCTTAAATTGAAGCATTATAAAATGAAAAGCATCTAAATTGCCACCCTCCCCGGTCTCTGACACCCCCCCCCCATGACATTGTTCTTTAGTTCTGTCTAGGAAATGTGTCTATGTTTAGGCATAAATCATTCGCCGCCGTTTGCACAAATAGCACTGGAATATAGGGTTTTTTTTTCTGAAAAAAAAAAAAATAAATGCTTCCCTTTACCTAAGTTTTCTTAAAGTCAGGCCTGCTTCAGAAATGGAGCGGCACCCACTTTTCTTAATGCGAAGTGAGCCCCTAAGCTGTTGGCTGACGGCCTTGCTTTTAGCTACTCGCCAGTGGCCAGGGGAACCTTTGGAGCAGCGGGTGGCAGTCACCAAAGAGGAGCTCTCAGGGAGAACCGCCTTAGCCTCCGCTCGGGCTCTGGGAGTACTTGAGCTGGGGGTGGGGGGTGAGGGGGGTGAGGGTTCGGACTCCCAGCAACCTGCTGGTGTCCGACCCCTCGAGGTGGTGCATCCAGCACAATTGGGGCACACCTGCGCGCCGACTGGGCAGCGGGTTTTGCAAAGCCTCTAGCGGACCCTCGGAGCCTCTCGGCGCATGGGTCGGGCTGTTTGACTTCTGCCTTTACGCACTGGTCACGGAACCCTCGCTGCTCTCAGTGGCCACTTGTCTGACTCAGAGCTTTTCGGGGCCTTGGTAGAGGAGATCAAAAAGGGAAAATGAGTTGACATCTAGTTGAAAATATTATTTAGAGGAAAAAATATATTTTTTAAATCTTAAAACACACGAGGAAGACGGACTGGTCACTCTTGCCATTGCTCAAGTTCTAGAGCGCAGGGAACCGACCTGAGGCTGCCAGCCGCACTGGACTGGACCTATCCCGTGGCGGTGGTAGTGGGTGATGCCGACTTAATTTTTCCCTTGCCCCTCCCCATTTCGTTTCTGCCTCCGGAAAAATCAACAACCTGGGCTTCTCCTTCAGGTGCCAAGATCGGCCAGTTTCGGAGAGAGCCAGGGCACTGAGCGGCGAACCGGAGGGTAAGGGGAGAACAGTTTTGGATCAAGGTTGGCAGCGCGACCCAGCTTGGTGGGAGCCAGGCCAATACAGCCACGCCCACCAACACTAACTGGGACAGTAGGGGACTCTGGGGACCTCAGCAGTGGCTAAGCTGTGTTGGAGTGCCACTGGAGAAACTTTCATCTCATTTGGTGACCTCTGAGGATTTTCATTTCGCACCCTCAGGCTTCATTTCCGCAGGTTCTAACACTCATCCACTCTACCCCAGCCCAAGTCGCCTGGTTTTGGACCAGAGCTAGCGGAGGGCGGTCTGACTTTTTCTCCTCGGGGAAGGGAAGACGGTTGGTGTCTTCCTTGTCATTCCGTTCTTTATCTTGTTTCTTCTGGAAGAAACGCAACTCCAGTCAAGCCAATCCCGATGGGGGTGGGGTGGGAAGTAGTGGCAGCCAATTTTTATTTCAAATTTCCTATATTTCCTTTCCAGGACCCCCTGGATGCAATCCAGCTCAACTGTGGCTGAGAAAACATACCCTGTACTTCCCAGAGCTGTTAATCTGCTCAACTCTTAGGCAGATACTGTAAGTTGTGGTTATGTTGGGAAATTCAGGACCCTATTTCCAAGGAGAGTTGTGCGGAACGTGTGTATGTTTGTTATTTTCAAAATCAAGCAAACGAAACAGCAGCCAATTAAAATGAAATATTTTTATTCTCCTCGCATGTTGTCAGTGATTTGCCCCCCGGGATCCACAATTTTCCCAAGCCTGTTAACGGGTGACAATGAATGAGTGCCTCGTGTAATTTAATTTTCCTGTCACACTAAATAGAGCTACATTGTAAACCTTAGATCTACTCTTACTGATAGGATCGCCTTGTTTTGCCATTTGCACCATAAAGACCCCCAAAAGGGACACTGTATTGTGACCTCTACTCTTGAATTATTCAAGAACTTAATGACATTTTCCATTTTAAAAAGGGAACTAATTGCCATTGATGCAAAGCATGTGACCTTCTCTGGGTGCCCAGTATGAGAATGTTACCATCTGTATGTGCACACAGAGCTGCAGAACACAGGTAAAAATAGGAAAAAAAATGTAAACATAATGAGCTCAAAATGGATACTAAAATCATGCACATTATTTAATTCCACCCAAGCCACAAATTCTCCTTACCTGACCTAAAATCTGCATAAAATGCACATCAACTCAGGCCTGCAGTTTTGGACATGAATTGACTTTTTACCTAGGAGAGGAGCATTTAACATTTTGAAATCTAGTCTTCTTTCCTAAATTAAAATTACTGTCTGAGGTCAAGCAAAATATCTAACAATCTGTCCCCTCCTCTCATTGACTTTTCTTCATTTAATGACTTATTCACTCAGAAGGAAAAAAAAAAAAAAAAAGTCAGAATCATAAAGAGACTGTACCTTAGTGTTTGCTGTCTGAATTTACCTTGGGTTTCTAGGAAAGCAGGCATTGCAATTCTTCATTACTAGAATTCTCATTCTTTAAATAACTTGAAAATTGATGCTTTTCTTTTTTCAAAGTATAAAATAACTCCCCGTGTTATTTCCTATTTTTTTTTCTAGTCCCAGAGGATTAGCAAAGGGAGAGTAATGGACTTCCATCAATGTCCTTTGGCATTTCACAGATCAGTCTGATTTCTCTCAGCCAGTCCACACTCACTATAACCATTTTTAAAGTATGAATGGAGTTAGGAAGTTGGAAAGCAAAACATTTTTTTTTTTTTCCCTCTGTGCTGGGCTGCAGAAACTTCTTTTGAACTTGGAAGTGGTGCTTGAGACAATGCATAGTGATTTCTGAAGACAATGGACAGTTCCTTTTAAAATGGCACTCTCAATAAACACACCTAGGCTTAATCTGAAATATCCTCTTAAAAAGAATATCTTTTTTGTGTTCATCTGTGAATCCATATCTCTATCTTGCAGAATTTCCAGAAAAGAAAATGAAGTACATTTGAACATCTAACTAAATTTTTATGAATCCCACATTATATCAACATATTTGACACAACTGCAGCTATGGCAGCCTGGAGTCATGTACAAAACAGAATGACTGTCACTCCATCGATGGAAGTATATTAAATGCTATTTTAAAGAAGATTGCTAGAAAATCTTATCTGAATTACATAAGAGAGCATGTTTTATATTTCTTTAAAAGTAATTTGCTTTCCTCCTTGGTATTACATGCTCGTGTACTCTTTAGCATTGCAGAAGAAATTGAATAAGGATATATATATATATATATATATATATAACATATATATACACACACACTATGTATATATATACTATATATATATATATATATTTGTTTATTTGGTTTCTTTTGTTTTGTGATGCTAAACTTAGAGCTTTGTGAATGATAGGCAAGTTGATGTAGCATGTAAGACCAAAAAATTATCTCTTACAGCATGTCTATTATATTTGCATTTTATAGAAAAGCTATCAAGTAATTTTTTTCTTGGTGATGGTATGCTTTCAAAATCAAAATTTTATTTGCCTTTAAAACTGGCACCACAGATAAATTATTATTATTATTATTATTTTCATGTTTAAAAACAGCTCTTTTGATCTAGAGACATTTTAAGTACTGTGGAAAGTTTGTGGCATCTTTAATACAAAGTCATGCTCCCTTCTGGCCCCATTTCTAGAATTATGATCTCCTGAATGGGTATCTGTGTTAATAACTCAGAGGTTCAGGAGAGGGACTTTACCAAGAGATCCTGATATAGGGCCATATTTCACCCAATTTCCATCCCTGTCTGCTAATCTTCAATACAAACAAACCATCTTTGGAAAACATTCCTGTTTGGCCTTTCTAAAAGGGTAAACTATCCCTCCCACAGGGCAAACAGGAACGTTTGGTTCTTCATCTGTAAAATGGGTACCTTATTTCCATCTGGCCTGGTGTGAAGGGGCACCCTGGGGTGGTGGTGTTAAGAGAAACACATTTCATCACAGTTATTTATATTTGATATTAGTGGAAATCAAGAGAGCTGTGTACACTGTTTTAAAACCCTGTGCAGGGCTGGGGATGTGGCTCGAGCGGTAGCGTGCTCGCCTGGCATGCGTGTGGCCTGGGTTCGATCCTCAGCACCACATACAAACAAAGATGTTGTGTCTGCCGAAAACTAAAAATATAAATAAATATTAAAATTCTCTCTCTCCCTTTCTATCTCTCACCCTCCCTGTTTAAAAAATAAATAAATAAAACCCTGTGCATACATGGGAAAGGAAGGAGGGCATTATTGTGGGGAAATAATTTAGTTTATGATACCTAGGTAGATATATTCAGGCCAGCCTGTACTTATTCACATAAAATTTCATCTGTTTTCCAGGTTATAATTGGCTATAATAGCTGAGAATGGTTGTCTTAGTCCATTATATCATACCTGTCAAGGAGTTGAATATGAGCATGTTTTTATCCTCATTTCAGAGTTGTTTTGTACTCTTTTTCTCCTCCTTTAAGTATTAGGATGTATCTATTTTTTAAATCTTAGAACTAGCAAAGTCAACAGCTTTCTATCTTGTATTTATCCAAATGTAGACACCTACATAAATCCATGACTTCTGACTGTCCAACCCTTCCCCACCCCCAGAAGTGATATCAAAATAGCTCAACTATGACACGGAAACTAATAATACCTTTTAAAGAAACTGAGTTTTGAGAATAAGGATGGGGATGTAGCTTGTTGTTAGAGGACTTGCCTGGTATACATGAGGCCCTAAGGTTTGATCTTCAGCACTTCAAAAAAGAAAAAAAAAAAAAAAGAAATGCAGTTTTTCCTGTTTAGTAAACATTTCTTTCATAAGCATATATTGTTTTGCAACCCTGTGTTGGCATTCTGCTTAGGCCTGGGGTACTGACCCAGCCAAAGAAGATGGTTATGAGGTCACTTAGCAATGACAATTTCCAGTTTGAGTAAATTTCACTATGGAAAAGGAAATACTCTGCTCTAGTATGTTCTCTCTCCTCGTAAAAATTGGGAGTGGGTATTCAACTCCTTAAAGATTTTTCTATATGTTGAACGAAGCTCATGTGTTGTTCTATTTTGAATTAATTAATAATTAAACCATGGATAAAGCAGACCTTGAGTTCATAAAGCCCAAATGCTTTTGGAATAGGAGGCATCATTCCTGTAATGAGAATTCAGGGACTTTTCCAAGATTCCATCCTGAGGTAGTTTCCTTTTCAAACAGAATTCTCACAATTGGGTCACTCTTCTTAATGTGAAATCTTATGCATTCTCTAGATTTATTTATTCATAGCTACTGAGACAGAAAGATTAGGTAAAGGCAGGACATTCGTACATTTGTTTTCCTAAAAGCCCCAAGTAACTGAAAGCCCATATACCTCCCCCATATTGAACTTTGACCATCACAAGAATTTTCCCCAAAGCCCACAAACCTGGATGCTTTCCTCAGAGCCCTTAGTTCATGTAAACTGAGGAATGCATGACTTGTTCACAGAGAGGCAGTGGTCTAGTTCCATATGGGTGCTGTGTGCTTGTACAGAGCTCTCAGGGTAGGGAAATAGGGCCCATGAAAATCAAGAGTTGCATAACTGCACCAAAACAACAGAACGATAGCCACCAGAATTTGTCAATTGAAAGATCTTAAAAGGTAAAGGTGTTGATTTGTCCTGCTGTCACAAGGAAGTTGTGGCAGTTAAGTTGCCCACATAGACATTTAACCTCCCCTGACGTTACTAAATCTCATGATGAATAAATAAAGATGCATGATGAATTTTTAGAACTCTATGGCCTAAAGCCCATGACTGATCTAAAACATCAATACTTTTCAATGACCAGAAAATGTCCATCAAATCAGAGTGATCATTTGGAGTGAGAAGTGGCCTACTTTAGGTACCTTGTGGGCCTTTTTTTTGCTGGCCTATACAACATTGGAAATTAATTCCTGCTTCTCAAAAATATGACCAGTGACAAGAGTGGAAAACAGACCTTAGGAGGGTAGGGAAGCTTTCCTCCAAAGAGCACTGAGCCCCACAGGGCACACCAAAAACTAGGTGACATGGAACCGTGTGTTCAGAAGGGTCACACAGATAGGATGCTGTTGGCAATGTTTTACAAAGGTGCAGAATCAAAGTGGACCCATGGCACAGCTACTGAGGAGAATCTTACCTTTATTAGTACCATTTTAATTACTGGGGTCAAGAAGAGCATAAAGGAATAAAACTCAACCTGTGAAAAGTTAAACAACACAAAACAAAACAAAAACTGTCAATCCCAAAGTGCATGGAATCAACTCTCATTCCCTTTTGAAGGCTGTGTATACTTTTCAAGCTGGGTATTTGCTGCATGGGGGTTTCTAATAAAATGTGATTTTTCATTGTGCTTTGTCTCTTTAGAGAGGATTCAGAAGGCCCTTGAAGTCCTCAGCCTTAAATCCATGTTAATAGGGGTAGTCTTTTTTTTTTTTTTTTTTGTAGGTGGGGAGGTTTGGTTGGAAGAAACATTGACCCGGACTGCACTTTGGGTAAACTACAGCAGAAGACCTGATACGGTCTGCAGGGTACTTATTAACCACTGTTCATTTGTGGGATCAATATTTCCAGCAAAGGAGTCAACATTCAAGATACACCACAATGTCTGGCTCTTTTCTTGACACAACAATTTATTTTATAAATGCATCTGCCGG